CATGAGAGGCTGTTGAAAGACCAAAGCACGCCCTGCAGGTGTGGATTTGATTTTGTGCATGGTGATTTAACACATTCAGGGTTTTTTTTTGGAGGTTTTGTCCTGAAATGACTTTTTATAAAATAATCWGTCCAGCAGCTGCAGGTGATGCTCAGGTCTTTTGCACTTTTTTTTGTTGTTGTTGGGGGGGGTTACAGACGAGCACTGCACAGCTCACTCCATTTTTACCACAGAAGAACAAAAAATAAATACTTTAAACAAAGATACTTTACTAAACACAATGTTCTTGAGCTCATGAAGAAGAGGGAGAGTTCAGAACCTTTTTTGACAGTAATTTTGGCAAATTGATGGTGGCAGGTCACTAAATTATTTTTAATTTCCAGCAGGACGTGTTTGATCACTGCAGAGCTGAGGACTCCAACCCTGAGTGAGAAAAATCACTCCACTAGTTTTTCTTTTCTTTTTTTTTTAAGCCGGGGTCGAAACAGATCAAACACAACTTCTGTACAATAAGAGCACGTGGAAACAAAACCATTTACAGAGAAATAAACAACAGTTAACCACCGACACGGAGGGAGAACTAGCTGCTGATGTGACACAAACGACAAAAATAAAAATTAAGTGAAATTATGGACAAACACACAATCTCCAAATAAACATGGTGTTTCCTTTTTAAACTAACAAAAAGAGGTGCTGAGTGGGGAGAAAAACAAACACCCCATTATTAAAATAACCATTTACAATTGTTTTTTTTTAAAAAAAAAAGATTACAAAATATAAAATTAAATAATTTGGAGTATAAAGGCACACATCTTGCACAGTGTATACAAAGAAAAGGAGCATTTTAAAGCACAATGGGGACTATTTAACACTGAACAAGTCACAGACGTGGTTAAAGTGGAGCGACACGTTGAACACAGCAGAGGAGGGGAAGGAAACTTAGTCCTGTCACATGCTTTCTTTTTCATTTTTATTATTTTTAAAGGTTTTTAATGCACAACTAGATATTGTAAAAATTTAAACACCATTCCTCATTAACACAGCACCATCACTCAGTCCAAAAAGTGGCTCCTTTTCCTTCTTTTTTTCCCCCCAAATACCGCTATATTTTAAGACTAAAATCCAATGTAAAAATATAAATGTGAATATTATTTATGACGTAGAAACAAACACGATGGAAGCTTTTTGGATGAGTTGGAGTCAAAAAAGGACATGTTGACCTGTTTTTTTTTGTTTTTTCTTTAGTTGGTTATACAACACACACACATACACACACATTTCTCACTTACACACAAGTATATTGCATTTCCCTTGTTAAGACCGTATCGAGTAAATGGGGTCGTATTCGTAACATTTGGTTCCTTTCCTCGTGTGCAAAATATACAAAAATAAAAAAACAAAAAAAAATGAGCAAGACGATACATAAAAATGACCAAATTCTAACAAATCATTCACCAGAAATAATAAAAAAAAAATCAAAAGTTAACACATTAATGAACACCAGAGTCACAAAACAGGTTAGAGAAATGAAGCTTTTGGTGTTAATGAATCAACAACACACAGCTGGAGCTGCTCCCCCCCCCCCGCCCTCCCTCCTTTTCAACACTGACACACACACGCTGGGCCGGGGCTGGGTGTGTGTGCTGGAACGATGTCGGAGGTAAACTTCCTTCTTTATGCCCTGAACGCACGAGTCGCACCGACGCCTGCTTCTAAACAAAAACTCAACAATAAAAAAGCACAAAGCACGCTTCTTCAACTGGATCGTAAACGGAGCGCCCCCTTCAGATTTAAAAATTAAAAAATTATTCTTCCGCTTGTAAGACGAAGCAAAAACGTCGTTTTAGGGTGGGGGTGGGGGGTTGAGATCAGGCTCGTTAGCTTCAGGTCGAAGACGGTCAAGCTTCTTCTTCGTCGCAGCGTAACAGAATCACGGCTCCTGACGGAACAAAAGTGCGACGGTTTGGGTCATTAAGGTGCTGTTGGCGACGGAGAGTTGATGTTTCGGGATGAACGAACGGTGAGCGACACACTCCCGGGGCCGTCCTCTGCAGCTGGAACAGAACTGGAGACGTCCCAGTAACGTTATCAGCCATGCACTGGGGTCCATCCGCTCACCTCTGAGACACACGTTTGTCCCTTTAGCGTTCAGACGCACAGCGCAGGTGGACAGAGTGACGGCGCGAACGACGCCTCGGCTCAACGGGAACAGAACAACCCAGAACGCCGTGAACGCGCGACACAGAGAGGAGCTGGAGGAGGAGCCTAAACTGGAAGGTTTGTTTGGTGGAGTCGTTTTTTTTTTTAAAGGAGCGGGTTCGGTTTATTGGCCCATTGGAAGACTGGTTCCTACTTCCTGTTCGAGAGGAAATGCAAAAACGGCCTCAAACTCGAAACGAATCGAATCCTCCCCGACCTCCCRCCGCCGAACATCACGAGAAAAAACGACGCGTTAGAATAAAACATGCAGGTGCTGTTGGGTTATAGAGCAATAAAAAAAAAAGCAACTGGTAGGAAAATTGTAACGACTTGGGACATTTGCTTTTAAGAACCTCCTCACGCAATGAACACATGAACAGAACTCAGAGGAGACGTTTAATGTAAACAAAGGTTTTGTTTAGCTGCAGTGTGGCACCCCGCTGAAAGAGAGTGAAGCAGCAAAAAAACAACACAAAACAAAACAAAAAGCAAAGGGGATGAAGGAGAGTGACACAGAGCCATCACAGCAGCCTCTGGGTGGGATAGCCTCTCCGTCACTTCTCCACCCTCCCCTCCCTCCCTGCCCCCTCGCAGGCCTCCCTGCCCCTGCTGCTCCTGGAGGCTACGACAGGATGGTGGCGATGAAGTCGTAAAATCTCTTGGAGTATTGCTCGGGGTTCACCGTGGAGATCTCGGCTCCGGCCTGCGGAGGTGCACACAAACAACACCTGGAGTTCAGACAGGGTTCAGCAGCAGCTGGAGAGAGGGTCTCTCCTCCGCAGCATTTTACTTATTTATTACCAACCTGAGGACAAAACAACAACAGGTCTTCTCTAACAAACTCTCCATTCGTTGGTTTTATGTGGAAATGTTCTCTAAAGGATGAAATCAGACCGCGCCGTGGTAAAATGAAATCAAACTTGGGCCTTTATTTTGTTAACTTTGTTTCTGCGATTTCATCAAACAAGCTGAGCGTATCGTTGCTCTGTGTGGGGCCGAAGTGGAGCGACGCTGTAGTTGTTAGTTTGTTTTATTAGCCTGTTGGGAAAATATCTCAAACTAACAGAGTTTTTAGAAAACGCAAACTGGCTAAAACCCGTTCATTTTTATAAATATTGAGCTAAAACTAGGTGTGGTAGTAGCTGAGAGTCATCCCCAAGATATAATTTGAGCACTAACAGATCACATTTTCTCTAAAAAAAACAATTTAAGAAGAGATTAAAAAAAAAAATCTGTGTAACATTTTTAATCTGGCCTGTAACTGACAGTAAATTGTTTTAAAATAAATTTACATTGTGTGGATTGTTTACAGAGGTTTGTTTTGTCGTTGGTTGTTCACAAATGTTTTTGTTTTGATTCAATAATATTTGTATTTGCAGTGAGTTTATTTTTTTGTTTGTACCTCATGGGCTGCCGTAGCCACGATGGGCTGGCTGATAAAATCTGAATCAGTTCTAATAAKGAATGACTGGAAAGCACCTGACAGCAGGACCTGAAATGTTTGCTGTTAAAGAAACAAAGATCTTAATCTTTGCATGCCTCTGGTGAAAGCAGCGAGGTACGTTTTGTTTATTTCACTTGTTTATGAGCCCCTGTTCTTATTTTAATGTTTGTTTTAGTTTTCATGGTGACTGTTTTTAAAACAAATCTTAAAACTTGTTTCTATTCACTGGCTTTTTCCTCAGCTTGAGAACTTTTAGCTGTTTTTTTATTGTTTATTTTTTTTAATTGTTGATTTGTTTTATTGTTTTTGGCCCCCTATGTACAGCACATTGTGTCAGCAGCCACTGTTTTAAATTACTTTATAAATAAAGTTGATTTGATATATTTTAAGGAATTAAGATGCAAATTTTGTGAGAAAAACAAGTGAGAAAAATAACTGATTTGTTTTTTATAATATTGGTGCTGATGTGTCAAAAGGTTTTTGCTACTAATTAATAAAACGTTCAACACTTCTGTCAATCGGTGTGTTAAATTAAAAGTTCCCTGTGGTTAATATCTTACTAAAAAACCTTGGTGTGTTATATGCTACTATAGTGTACTGTGTCAATCAACCAACCTCAGCTAACTATAAATCTAACAACCCAGGAACATTAACATTCTGCAGCTTAAAGTGATGGTTTACCTTCAAACCCTTCAATAAAAAGTTAGTAAAGTTAATAAAAAGGTGAAAAGATTGGCTCCTAAAAACATATACTGGAAACCTAACAATTTCACTATCTTTTATTTATAATGAAACTGTTAAGAAGAGGTGATGTTTTCAGAAACGTACCCCGTGTTTGACAGTTTTTGCGGCGTGGGCAGCCTTCTTCTTGGCGTCATAATGCTGCAGGATGTCTATAATAGCCATGAAATAAACCTCCTTCCTTGGAGCACCTGCAGTTTGTAACAGAAACACTTCAAGTCAGAATTTTACATTTGCAAAGCACAAAAATTAATAAATAAATAAAATCCAGAAATGATGTTCCATGTATGTCTGACAGAGACAAACTGTCTCCACTAGGGGGAGCTCTCAGGTTAATTTTTTTCCCTTCATTGAGGTCAGAACTGCAGTCTCCTCACCTTCGTTGCTCTTGATGGCGTAGACGTCGATGGACGGGTCGAACTCTCCGGGCAGCAGAGGCTTGGTGCTGTCCAGTGTGTTGCTGGGACTGTCGGGGGGCGTCCCGATGCCCCCGCCGTCGCTCTCCCCCTCGTCCTCTGCCTCGTTGTCCTCGCTCTCCACCTCCTCCTGCTCGGCTCGCTCCACGTCGTGGATCCCCACCAGCAGACTGTAATCCATGAGCTTCAGCTGGGCCAGGAACTGCAGGCRGGGAGAATGAGGAGAGAAAGACAAGCGGTTACAGGACGAGGGGGGAGGAGGCGGTACGGAGACAAACACTGTCAATAATCTGGATGATTTATGGCGCAGTTCCCTACCTGGAAAGATAAACTGATACAATCCTAGAGCTGATTGTGAAAGGTCAACGTATCTTAACACATACCTCCACATCTTTCCTAAGCTTCTCCAAAAACATTTTCTTGTTCTCCCCATCAATGTGAATCTTCTGCCCATCGTTGATGAAGTCATTGTCCTTGTAGGTGGGCAGCTCCTTGGCCTGTTCATTGGTGTCAAGAGATTAGCAATAATAATAATAAACAGTCCAAATTGTTGAAATAATGGGTATTTTAAACAACAAATGTGATAAAAACTTGAACGCCCCATTTTCTTTTAAAGAATCAGAAAATACTGACAAAGATTAAATTACATGAAAAAAATAAAAAAAATCCTTAAAAAGAGCTGAGTGCTGACTGAAGATACCTGAAAACAAACRTCTCAAAAGGTGCAACACAAGGTCAATCCTCAGAAAACTCACACACCTAATGTTTTCTTCAATCTAAATAAATAAGAGTCGTTTCAAAAGACATGATGGATTAATCTCTGCTGATCTCAGAAATGAGTCAACAACGTGGGTGTAAATCCTTTTGCCTTTAAATGTTGTTTGTTGAAATGCTGTGGATTTTTCTCTAAGCCTGTCTGGACCAGTCAGGTATAAGAAACTGCTGGTGTAATGAGGTGGTTAACTAAAGCAACAGGTTCATGGAGTGGACACCCACCTGTAMAGTTCTGCATGTTTATGCTTTAAAGTACCTGTGACATGCATATCCTTCAAATACAAAAACTCAAAACAGTTTTATATTTGAGAAACTTGGCACGATAAAGGTAAAGGTGCTTTATTGGTCATCAGTGTATGTTTCCACACAATGACGAAATTTKTGCTCTGCATTTGACCCATCCACACCCAAGTGGAGCAGCGGGCAGCCATGTGAGGCGCCCGGGGAGCAGTTAGGGTTAGGTGTCTTGCTCAAGGACACCACGACATGTGGGCATGGCGGGGAGTCGAACCTAAGACTTTCGGGTCCCAAGCCGGCTGCTCTACCACTACAACACAGCMGCCCATGATTTTACTCACTTTGTCACATAACTGGCCTATTTTCKTTTGGATTTGGTTCAGTCAAAGTGAAACAGGAAGTGACATCAAAGGGGAACTCATTAATAAAATTAACTCTCTGCTCTTTGTTTATTAAAACAGTATCATTTAAACTTTAACTCTTCATCTGTGTTTGATAGAGACTCAAAATAATCTAAAGAAACATCAGATTCTTCTTTACAGTCTGTTGTAACAACGCTCTGTTTACATGCAGACATTCCCCTTCGACATCACTTCCTGTTTCTTCACATGCAAATATCTCAACAACCGTTCATCTCAGGGGCGTGAAATTTGTTTTGCATCATGCTACCACTGTTATGTTTTCAAAAATGCATTCATGTTTATAATAAAAATTGTAATAATTAAATATTAATTATTGTGTAATTATTACAAAAAGGTTTTTTTTGTATTTTTTTAGTTTTATTGATTTATTCATTTCATTTAAAACAAAAGACAAATTTTTAATGTCACAGGCACTTCAAATGCTTCCTGCACACTTTGGTGTTTGAAGCACTCTGAAAAGCATCATATTTTTTTTTACAATTTGATAGTTTGTGTCAGCCTGAGATAAAATATACTGTAATATTAATGTAAAATTCATTTTATCAACCAGTATGTGTTAAACAAAATGTTTTAGACTGATGCATTTTTCAACAGAATTCACAGTGGAGTGGCTTTTATTTCCATGTTTTTGTTTTTAACGTGGCTGCTACAGGTAGGCCTGCAGCCTGCAGGGGGAGGAGGTGTACCGCGGTGGGGGAGGGACGGGGATCTTAGCTCTGAGGAAAAAAAGAAAGAGCAGGAAATGAGGTAACGGAGCAACAGCTGCAGTTTAGCTACTACAATGTTTCTATGGCAGCGGGAGAGAAGCGGCAACACAACTTGGTAGCACCGCACTGAGCTCAGACAGGACACACACTCATACACACTTAAAAAAAACACACGTAAATGATCCCATCACACAAACTAGGACACACATTTATACGTACAGACATCGACCTTTAATTTGCAGTAAATACAGGATGTACAGCTTTGACTGGAACACTAGAGATGGGGCTTAAAATGTGAGACAGAAGCAGCGTTTTGAGGCAGACTCCTGAGTGAGTTAAAGCCACAAAAGTCGGACCGCCACTGATAGATAACAACAAAAAAAGCTGTACTGAAACTCTGAGTAAAAACGTGCCTGGAAATAAGTAGATAAATAAAATGTGATAAATCATGCCTGATATGAGCCCTGGTTCTCTTACATCTCTTACGTGTTTCATGGCGCAGTAAAAGCGCGTGGCAATCCGCAGTGTTTGCAGCCTTTGCTGAACGTTACCAGATTTGGGCCGCAGGGGCACATCCTCTGGTGGGGGTGGCTGCTAGAGAAAAAGGGGGGGTGGGGGGTGAGAAGAGAGGAAAGAGGAAGAGGAAGTTGGAAGTAAAGGCAAAGAGTTTAAAAAGCAACAGAGCATCATAGTTGTTGGTGAACTGGCGAAGGGTTGAAAAAGGGCGACAGATCGAACGGTTCGAGACGTCTCCGTCACGGCTGACTCAGATCTTATTCTGTGCTGTAAATACCTGCTGCTGTACAGCTCCCACAGAGAAGAAGAGCAGCCTGGCAGCACGTCTCTAAAGAGGAAGCACTCAGCAGAACAGCTATGTCGCTTTATTTTCTGCTAAACAGCTAAAAACAGGTGTGGCACTATTTCTAAGGGCTTAAAATTTCTTCTCAGAGGGAGATAAATATACCAGGGCGGCACACACTCATTCTTATTGCTATAAATAAACCAGAGTCCTCGACACAGAGACACCAGCTGGTCCTGCAGTGAGGATAGACAGGACTGTATTAAACACTTAAAAAGAAGAAACAACTCTCCTCCTCTCCATCCTTTTAACATTTCCAGATCACACAACCAACTCTCCTGTCAGACCTATCAAAGACTAAATACATGTGCTTTAGATACGATTGTCTACTGGGCTAATGATTGACAGAATGTGTTAAAATAACCAGCTGCTGTTTGACAACCAAAACCCGAGACAGCAGCGAAAACAAATCCCCRTTATTTCTTTTCTGAAAAGAAAGCAAACATGACACACCGTACTGTATGTGAGTAGAAGGGAACATGTTGAGGACGTGCAAAAATTAAATGACGACGCCGGCGTCTGAACACATGGGAATGTGTCAGGAGTGATGCTGCGTCATAAAAAGGATGCAGATACCATGCAGATACATGCATGAGAGGAGGAGGGCCATGCAGTTTAGGGGGGGGTACCCTGCCGTGCTTGTTGTTTGTGTGTAGCAGGTGGTTTTCGTCCCCTGAACACACACACACACAATGTAAATGTTTAAATAAACCATTCTATCACACAAAGCTGTTTGCTTGACCYGCTGCTGTGTGAGAGTTTCACGTTCGCACAGGTCTTTAATACACAAATGTGATTCAATGAAACAGGTTTAAGTCATGGTCTGAAGGTACTTGTAAAAGATCACTATCCACCTATGGCTGCGCAGTTTGTTGAAAACTTATCACCATTGCAATATCAATACTACAAAGTATTGCAATAAGTTGCAAACACAAAATGGATGTCAGCTAATGTACATGGCTTTTAAATTATAGTAGCTGAGATGCTAATGGAGTGTGTGACCACAGGAGAAGAGAAGTGGCGTGAAACAAATGTCAGTTTGTCACTGATATCATAATATTCAACAATTATGACGCAGCTGCAWGTTTTCCTAAAATTACGCGGTTTCTATAAAGGTTTTTGGGGAAACTGAGCTCCCACTGTCAGAGCTTTTATGATGTTTGAAGCTTTCTGTGACACGTGTGTGACCACGTGTCTGTTCCACTCAGTGAGGAAGTGCATCATTATTATTAGTACAAAAAAAATTGAGCTTCACTTTTGACAAAGTTACTTCCTTTTTCTTATGAGCTACGTTCTTCTGAAACCAACCAACACTGAGGTCAACAACTTGGGCTGCGTTCACACTGCAGGAAAAAGTGACACAAATATGATTTTCTTTTGCTCCATGTGACCCAGATTGGATTCTTTTCACGACAGTCTGACCGTGACAAATCTGACCCAGGTCTTTTCAGTACGTGGTACTGAATTGGATATTTTACAAAGCCTGAATGCTGAGGTGGGGGTGAGCGGATCAATCCAATAATAATGACACTAACCTCGAGTCATGTTGTTTAAATCCTGTAGCTCCACGTGTTCATCTACAGAACAGAAGTCCAGTTGCCTCGTCTTTGAATTTTCCACGTCCTGGACGACTCAGAATCCACAGAAACAGTAACGTCCAACGTCAGTCACCGACTGCATCGATACTCAAGTTGCTCGATCGATACTTTTCTTTTAGCACGTCGCTTCGTTCCAAAAAGAAATCGTTGCACCGGAGCATTCGGTTCGGATATGAACAGTGGAAACATGCACATCGGATAATTACCTAATCAGTTTTTTTCTGCACGACGACTTCAGAATCGACATGCTAACGAGTAGCATCCATGCTTAGCTACCTCAGCTGAATGCAACTTTGCGTCATCTTCTACGCATGCAGGTCGCATCAACACTGTGGAGTTCACGCTGGAGTCTGACGGAAGTCACATTTAAAATATAATGTGAACGTCCACACCAGAAAATCTCAACTGTATATTAAGACCTGCAATGTGAACATTACTTTAAATAAGTCGTTACCTTTAAGCTCAATGCCAAAAGAAAAAAAAGGTGAGTATGTTTTTACTTGTGTGTGCATTGATTTGTCTCAGAGTTAGCAAAATATCTCAAACTACTAGTTGGATTTCAATAAAAATCTCAGGAAGTGATCATCAGATACATTTCTATATGTTTTTATTARTTAATCTGAAACAAGATGGCTGCTACAGCCAACTGACCAGCYATAACTTGGTCATGTTTACAGACTGTTAATGGCCATAATTCAGTCCCTCTTCATCATAAGACAATTTTTGTTTAAAACTCTGGCCTGACAGGTTGTGAGTGATATGCATTCCTCCAAGAAATGTTGTTAGGTTTTTAATCTAATCAGTCACAAATGTTGGTTCTTGATCTTTATTGCTATACAGTTTTTTTTTCCAGTGGCCTGAGACAACATGTGTTGTGACTTGGTGCTATATAAATAAACTGAATTGAATACAGTAAGTGGTGTTTTATAAACAGCTGTGCTGCAGAAACAAAAAGAGGTCAGAGTGGGCTCATGTGTGTTAATTCCTCAGCAGTTTTTTTTTCTTTTCCCCCTTACTCACTTGTTTCAACCCCAGTAGTCTTGTGTTTTCCTCTCCTCCATCTGCAGAGGGCTAAATTTAGTTCGGTGATTCCCTGCAGTCTTCTACGCCTCGCTGCCTGGTGCCTGACAGTTCAGATCAGGTAGGAAAAAAAAATGGTGGAAAGTTTGAGCCACTCCAGCCTAAAAGTGTGGCGATCCCATCACAGTCAGAGTGTGTAAACAACTACTGGAGCAATAATTCCCTTATGACAATACTAAGATCACAATCTCAGTCCAAAGTCAGAAAGTTTCAGGACAACATCAACAATCAAAAACTAAAGGCAGCATCCGTTCAAACTGAATGAATCCCACTGYTATCTTGCTCATGTAAACATTATTTACACATCTAGTTACATACACAAAAACCATAAAAGCATTATTCCATAGACAACTTCAGAGTAAAACCTTAAACACAAACTCAGCCAAACACACAACTCTCAGTCTTTCACACAGACAGCAAGCAGGGGGACTAATGGAACTGCAGAAGCAAAGGTTAGAGGGGATGGAGCAAAACAAAGAGGCAGAGGGAGCATGCAGTGGCTAGAAAAGGGGGGATGGAGGGATGAGGTAGGTTCTAGTTGAAGAAAATGGATAATTTGCTGCTGTCATTTTCCACCCAAAGAGAACCAAAGCCAGCCACTGGAGCTGGATTAGTCCGTTTGGGTGATGACAAAAGGGCCGGGAACTGAGTGAAGCTGTGTCGGTTTTCTAAAAAAAACACAGGTTGTTCTCGCTCTCGTTTAATTATCCTCGTTTATTTTTAAATGAAAAGTAGCTCAGTCAGTGTATAACTGAGTCACTTGTGGTGGTGCATGCTTTTCATTTATTAGAAGAAATCGAGTGTACGCATAAAATGATACTGAAATTCAACATTTTTGTTTTACATCTTGTGTTAAACCGGGGGTGTCCAATCCTGGTCCACGAGGGCTGACATCCTGAACGTTTCCTTGCTCCAACGCATCTGGTTCAGTGATTAAATTACCTCTTCAAGTTCTGCAGAAGCCTGTTAATTACACACTCATTCAAATCAGGTGTGTTGGAGCAGAGGAACCTCTAAAGCCTGCAGCACAGAGGAGGCCCTCGAGGACCAAGATTAGACACCTGCACTAATTAAAAACCGTAACAAAGCATTAGTGTACGAGAAAAKGTGCACAGTGACACCTTCCTCATTTCAAAATGACATCATCATCGGCCTATCTCCTGACAAACCAGAACCACAAAAGGTTTTCCTGCAAGGCAGAAGGAGAACACGTTCTTTCTAAAAGCAGAAAATGAGCGAATGCTTTAAAAATGATTAATAATTTTCTGTTTTGGGAATATTCTAACAGCTCGATCCTGTGAAGAAGAGTGTGAACAGTGGATTCTGACTCGTGCCAGGTGACTGTACCTTCTCCTTGTCGCTGGCCTCTCTTGCCACAGTAGAACCCTACAACAACAAAACAAAGGGATTTAAAAGTCTACTTTAATGACAATTAATTACCGAACGGATAAAAACCCATAGTAGAGAAAAAGTTAACACAAAACGTTAATAGCAGAAAAAAATTTGCAGTAAGAGCAAAAACATTGGTCAGGACTTTGAYTGATCCTTTCCTCTCCTACCTTGAGATCATATTTTTTGTAGACAGAAAGGCGGTGGGAGAAAACGTTGCGTGTAACAATCATGTAGGTCTCGTCTCCATCCACTGTGAGACGGTACATCCCCAGAAACTGAGGCAGCAGCGTGTTGCCATGGCAYTCCACAATAAACTACAAAAAAAGAGCGAGGAATACAAATTTATGGACCTCTTATAGTTACAATGGGTGCTTGCAGTCTGCACAAGTGTGTAAGAAAGAAAAGTAAAAAAAAAAACACAGCGTGATTCCCTTTATGAGCTTTGTTCAGTGATCGACTTTCAAGTGATAAATGGACCAGGCTCTTTTAAAATGGCTCTCTGGGGAAATCTGTACCATGACAATGTTTAAAGTTTATTGGCAAACTCTTCTATTAAACAGAAGGAACAACTGCCATTAGTAAGTGCTTATTCAGAAACAAACAAAGAAAAACAAACTAGAATAGAGTTACATTTCTCTATTTAAACGTGTTGTTTTGTTTGTTCTAACCTGATGGTATTTCTTTAAGATGTTGTGCATCTCGGCCACATCCTCACTGCTGATGGTCTTGATGACGTAGCGCTTGTCGTAGGAGGTGTGGAAGCGGGCCCCGCTGCGGCCCTGGGCTTCACTGTTCAAGGGAGCGCTGCGTGTCAGAGAATTCTGCGAAAAGAAAAAGTGAATAAACTTAAAAAACATTCGAATTTCAACTGAACACTCATGATGGTCTAGATCAGGGATATTCAACAGTTACTGCAGGCCAACAGCTAAAGGGCCGAACAGCCATCAAATAAAGTCATTATGTAAATAAACCAAATATTACAAAGATCTGTTATCACTGAAAAAGTTTATTTTGCTGCCTTTTATCATGAATACAACATACAGAACCCTATAATAAAAGTAGTGATAATAAAACAACAAAAACAAAAATAACACATTCTGCCTCCTATTTGACACAAATATTTTGACATCAGTCCGGGGAATTAAATTATGGAATAATCTGGAAGATGAACTTAAAAATGCCAGATCAATATTTATATTTAAGAGAATGATAATGGTTAATTTGCTGGAGAAATATGTAAATTTATGAATTGTTGTTCAAGGAGTAAAACTTTTTTTCTTTTTTTCTATTTTTGTAAACTGTAGATTATTTTTGATTTTATTTATTTGAGAAAAAGGGGCAGATATAATAAGATTTTTTCTTCTGCTACCTTTCATTTTATTTGATTTGTATTTTTGTTTGTTGTTGAATTTATGTTGTTTTTAAAGAAATGAATAAACTAAACTAAACTAAAATCTCTGACTTGCCAAATTTTTAAACCAATTTTATTTTCACTTTCATAGTCTTATCTTCAACTGCTTGTGGTTTTAACTGTCTTGGGTTTTCATTGAAATGGTTTTTACCAGCTTGTAGYCAAGATTCTGATGTTTCTGTAGAACTACTCGTCTTTGTCTAACTAAAAGAACTTAGAGTAATTAAAGCAGAAAACCGGGGGTTTGGGCTTAAGAGATGAATGAACCAATTGGCGGGCCGAACTTTGGTCACTCGCGGGGCCGGATGTGGCCCGCGGGCCGCTAGTTGAATAGCCCTGGTCTAGATAATATAATAMAATATTTGTTCGAGCAGGTAACCCTAACCGGGTCAACAGGGCTTCCTGGGAGCAGCACGAGTTTGAGACATGAGGAGGAGGAAATGTGGAGCAGGCCTGAAGATGGCTGTGTGTGATGAGGAACAGGCAGTGGTTTAAACCAGGGACAGGGAGTCTGATGTTGAAACACTGGAAACCCTTTATGACACTAGATATTATCACTGATCTGTCCAAGTAAACCAGTACTGTAGATGTGTTCAGTAACTCACTGTGTAAATGTTAAATTAGCTGCATCATCAGTTTCAGGATGATGCCAACAACACATTTGATTTACTTCCATTACGCCTCAACACCTCCCACCATGCAGTGGAAACATGAAGTTCTGATCTCATGCTGCCTGTCCAGAGCTGCACACAGACCCAAACAGCAGCTGCACAGACTCTGGAGCTCAAAGGTAACATGATCCAACATCTTCCGGCTAAACCCCTCATTCTGCACGAACTCTTCACCCCCCATCAGCTCTGCTACGCTCCTAAACTTTTAGCATTTATTAGCTGTGTGAGAACTACCATTCAGGATATTGTTTTTCACTGATAAACGAGTCTTTTTCTAGCATTTTGTGACAATGTCATTGATTAATAAAGTTTCTTTAAACTTTTCTGTTCATCAGCACCCCCAACTACCCATTCACTGCAACCAAGTGAACTCCAATGTAAACACACAAGACAGACAGCTGCACTGGAGCACAGTGACCTCCGAACACTGCCAAATCACTGCACTGGCAACTGGGGGATTACTAAGAAAGAGAAGAAAATAACAGGAACACTTGGGTCAAAGTAAAGACATGTCTGATATATTTTAGGGTGTTTGTGGATTCAGTATGTTTGCAGTGTTTAAAAATCACATGCCTGAAGTCTTAAAGGGATACCAGACCCAGAAACTTTAAATAACTGTCAATATAAACACTAATATGCTGTGGTTTCTATCCTTTAAGATGACAAGAAATAGTGAAACAGTAGACGGTTTGTGAAAAATCACAGAAAAGCTTCATACTGAGAATTCCTGATCATCAATGCCAAACCTCTCCCTGAGGTTTCGAAACACAAGAGGGCAGTACTCCTTAAACTTGAAATGGCTAGGCATGTTCTCTCTGTGTTTAAATAAAAAAAGAGAAATATCAGAAAAGACAAAGTACAGTTTATGATTATTTAAGTCCTGAACACACGTTTCCTTTATTCTGTAACATTTCAGGGGAAATACAGAAGAGCGCTTACTTGTTGAAGAGGTGGTTGTCCACTTTAATCTTCGAATAGGCTTTAAAGTCATCTGGCATGAGCATGATGGGAATCTGAACATGGCTTAACTCGTTTATCTGCGCAGAGAAAACAAGAAAACAAGAGACATTTTTAAAACACGAAGGAACAACAGTCATTACAGTCGACCTGTCCGGTGGATTTGGTTGGCTAGCCTGAAATGGAAAATAAACACTTTTTAAGTCAAACCAAGGCCCCACAAATGATACATTTAGACCACACAACAGCTTAACATGCTGCCATTAAAATACACTTGGACCCCTATTTTTTAAAATGAGGCAACAAAAAATCATCAACATAAGATTTCTGAATATTTTAAAAGCTGTGAGCTTTAACTCATGTAGCTTTTTATGATGCTATAATGTAGAACTCCCTTCCTTTTACAGGCTGGTGTACAGATCGTCCCTCTTACTTTTTCACTTGACAGCGTCTTCATTATAGGGTTGGGCAATATTGCCAAAAAAACGAATCATGATTAATTGTGGTATTTAGCCGATGACGATTAATTTGACGATTTATCCAGTGGAATCCCTGGGCACCCTCATGTCCTARTCACATGACCAATTTAGTGGGAAAGATTTGCTCTTTGTAAAAATCTGTTCCAAATTGTGTCAAAATCACAAACTTCAGGCTATGCATACAATTTTAAATTGTGTTGATAGATAAATAAATTACAGACCTTTTTTTTTTTTAAATGTTCATCATATTTGAAGCGGAGAGGAGCAGCGAGCGGACTCTGCCTGGTGGCATTAATCATATTAATCGTCAAGTGCCAAAAAGTAATCGATTAATGTTTTTCTGACGATTAATTGCAGACGATACGATTATGCCCAACCCTACTTCATTATAAATCTCAAAAGACAGAAACAACTCCAAGTGACTGGGTTCTGGTCCAACAGTCGTCCTCATTCCCTATAAACGTATGCTGTACTGCAACAATTCAAGTACAGTACAATTTTCTTTAAAAAGATTTCCTTAAAAAATGACRAATTATCACGAAAATTGTTTACTTTTTGATCAAACGTAAGCCAAAATTTCTGTCCTGGATTATCAATCTGAACAAAATACTTGGAGAAAAAAGCTGTTTAGATGATGTATGTATGTGTATTGCTCTGGGATGCTGTGGGCTGATAAAGTGAAAAACGTTATGGCTTTAAGATTTTTTTTTGGACCAAACAGTTCTACCCGAGCTCTCGAGGGTTACAGAAACTGGAAAGCTCCGATACAAAAGAACCCCGTCTCTTTTTCAGCTGCACAGAAGACAGCCTAGAGCCAGTAAAGCCACATTATTTATACGCATGGCAGCCATCAAAAACAGAGCAACCCAAGTTGGAACACATTTGTCGTGTGTCAAGGGTGTTATGATTACAGCGAAGTTGGAAAGATTCGTGTTTTTAGAACATGAGCTTAAAATGGCAAGAAAGAGAACGAAGAGGAAAAAACATCTGCAACAGATTGAACTTTATACCACAGAGACTGAGAAAAGAACACACTGTAGCAGACAAAGTAGATGGGTGGGTAACTTGAGCAGAATTTTTTTTTTCAAGCGATTAAAAGAGCTAATTGCTGGTATGAAACCCTGCAAGGTTTATATTCTAATGAATCGACACAGTGACGTTAATAAGACTAAACYGATACAGAAATTCTGTCTGTACTTTTCTTAGATACTCCCATCTAKTGCTGTTTAACACTGTTCTCTAATCTGTTTCAACCTGGATAAGATGTGACGGTCTGAGCTTTAACAACAGTCAGTGGATAAAAAAATAAATCTGAATGCCCAATAAAGTATTTAAGTGCCTTGGTTACCATTTTAAACTTTCTTCAATAAGAATGGACTCAAATAATCAATCATATGGAGGAAAAAAGTTACTATTGTCTCAGGACTGAGTTCAATAAATGACACTAGGGATGTCCCRATCAGATATCCATWTCTGATATTGGTCCGATATTAGCCAAAATACAAGTATTGGATTATATCAGCCTGCATTTAAAATCCCAATATAAGCAGTCTACTCTAATGGTCTGCTCCAGGAGCACTTGGATCCAGAATAAATTACCTTGATTTGTTATTTTACACTTTTTAAAAGTATATTTTGTTTTTATTGGATTTTTTGAGGTAATCTGTCAGGGTCGTCTTTTTAAATTAATTTTATTTGATTGTAGAATGTTCTTATGCAAGTATGTAAGATTCATTCTGATATCGTATCAGCCCAAACTCAAGGCTGCTACAGTATATCGGTATCGTATTGGAAGAGAAAAAGTTGTATGAGGACACCCTTAAATTTATTGCTCAGTTTTATCCAATCGATCTCAATCAGTTTCACAGCACAAGCTGTTGTTTACAGTAAATGTATGTTTAAATGTAGCATGTGAGGCGTGAGCATTAAACTTGCTCAGCTAATCAACATTAGCTTACATCTGGACCAAACGCGTGTCCATCGTGTCACTCATGGGTTCCTGTTAAGCTGAGAAAACTTCCCTATGAAAACCATTACAGGAACGATACAGTTCCTGAAGAACAACAACAAAAAGGAAGTAGAACTGGCCTAAATAGTTATAGAATTGTGAAAAGAGCACTACAGTCCAAAAGTTCCTATTGAGAAATAATTTACAAAGTTTTATTTTCCTTCCTTTTTATATACAGATTTTGTTTATTTGGTAAACTTCTTTAGCAGCATGTCCTGTCAGGCCTTTTGCGCAGATTTTAAAGTTGCTGAATAAGCGTCAGGATTCAAGTTAGTTGCATTTAGTTTTAACCTTTCCTCTTCCCTTTTGATGTGCAACAACTTCACATTACATAAAAATGTAGCGACGTGGGCTGATTATGCATAATGGAAAAAGAAAAAACTAAAATGTGTGTTTTAAAAATGTAATTTGGCATAATCAGGTCTCAGATATGACCATGTTTAGAGAAGATGTGAGCTTTTAAACTGATTCAGACTGAATGATTGTGACTGCGTGATTGTTCTATAGTGACTCAACAGAATGAAACACTGCAGGGCATCTCGATCCTGACACATTAATTAAACCAAACTGCTTTGAGCACTTTCAGCACAGTGCAGGCATTTCTACTCAAACTGACCGTGCTTCACAATGCTGCGTTACGTAGACCTGACATTTGTTATGACAGCAGGCACAGCTTGATAAACATATGATGTGTGCGCTTGTCTGTGTACATGCTTATTTGTTGTTGCCTGCAGGCAGGGATGTTGGCAGGTTGCTTGGTTTATGCTCTATTAATAACCTTGTGTTTCACCAAGCATTTTACAGTCACTGGTGCACTGAATATGCTCCAGTTTTTATAATTTGTTATTGGCTATAACATAATTGATGAGTGTGCGTTCTTCAGTGCAGTCCTGAATAAAACCTGAGCTTCAACGGTGCAATCAAAAGTCGTGAGTCCTGAGGAAAGATGCGCAACCTCACAAATGTAGAACACATTATTTGCCTTTTTCATACTATAGAATTATTTGCTTTTATTCTCTCAGGTCATTTATTCACTTTGCTTCTCATTTCAGTGAGAGTCACCGCTGCATCTTAAATATGTTATTTATGTTCTAGCTTTTTTGCTTCCTTTGCATCATTTTCTTTTGTTCCAGAGTCAAAGCAGTCACAAAAGTATGACTTAGTTCGTTCACATTATAATTTAAATGCGACTCCATCAGACTTCAGTGTGACCGGTCCATAACCGTAAAGTGACCCACCAAAGACCTGATGTCACATGCAGCATGCTTTGTTTTCAAAAATAAATATGAATGCTACATGTTGACAAGGCCGTCAACTTCACATCATCTGCAATTACAACTTGTTGGAGTTTTTTTTTACCCTGGCTCACGTGACTATATGACTATAAGAGGAGGAGTCTTACCCTAGGCATGTCAATTAGACAAAGACTTTAGGGCTGAACGTAAGGCAAAGATAATAAATTGGAAAGTCTGAGAAGAATATCTGAGGTTCCAGTCCAGAGAACAACGGTCCAGAGCTGCTCTTCTACTGCYAACTATAGTTCATAATCTGTACGTAACGGCTTTTGAGGCAGCTTCTCTGAACACAAACATTTATAAAATGTCATAATTCATGATAAGAGCTGGCAGCAGGCAAAGAGATTGAGGACTAATGACAACTTCTAATAGAACTTTACATACATGCCTGGTCAAAGAAACGTTGTCACCTGGATTTATCTAATCAAATAGGTACAAGCCTCCTATTGGATAATTACTACATGGGTGATTATCTTTCAGCTGGCAACAAGTGAATCCCAACTGGTCCAATGARTTGCTTCTCATTTCTTAAACAACCATGTGGAAAGACACATCCCGTGGTCGTGGAAAAGATGTCAGTCTGTTGGAGATGGGTCAAATCATTGGCATCGAGCAGAGAAAAAAAAACTAAGAACTGTCCAACGCATTATTAAAAACTGGAAGGACAGTGGGGACCCATCGTCTTCGAGGAGGCTCCCATCATGTAGTGCTTATCGAACAAGCCTGTGGGGACAGTTCTATGATCTGGGGTTGCTGCAGTTGGTCAAGCTTATCCAAACAACGCCACAATGAATGTGTACCGTAATCAAAGCTAAAGTCAGTCTAATGAAATATTAGAGTGTGCAATCTTTTTTGTGGGRGGTGACTTTTTACTGTATTTTTTTGGACAGGCAGTGTATAACAGATTGTTTAAACATCTTATGATAAACGTGATAAACGTTTAACTTTATGTCTCATCCAATAACATATTGCTTTTTTGTATGAATAGCTTGACCATTATCTCTGCCTACAACACATTTAACAAACTTGACCTAAATATTGCACAGCTGCATTTTAAGAAGTGTTCATAAGCTTCTTGCTATAAAAAAAGAGAGACACCAAACGTGCTCCAACTGAAAGTCCATGTACTTTAAATATCTCCTACTATTCTTGGATCGACGGAAAGCAACATCAAAGTATAGAACCAGCGTATTTCAGTGAGAGAAAAGACTATTTGAAGAAAGAAGAGGGATGGAGTCAGCGGATGCCATATCAGAGGACATTTCAGCACCCTGGTGTGACAGGCACTTACGTCACGC